TGGAGCATACTGAGAATGGCCATATAGACCTGCCAATCCTTGGCCGCATCCCACACGTACTTCCACTTGAAATCACCAGCCTCGGGAACCACATTGCCATTGTTGGAGAATTGTAGACTTAAGCGGCGCAGAATCCAAGCACGTTCGTCTTGGGTCAGAAAGGAAGCCGTATCAGGGTAATCGTAGAGAAAGAAGTATGACATGACAGCCACGACAACTGTTGCAAGCCCTTCGATGATGAAAATCCAGCGCCAGCCGGAGTACCCGCCAACACCGTTCATTTTCTGACTTGTTAAAATTTGCACAGCAGATAGAGTTCTATAACTTACACCGATCGCAAATGCAAGTAACCCCGAAAAGGCACCTGCAATACTCGCCGCGCTGAAGCATAAGGCTTGGCGGAACTGAGCTTCATGACGAGAGTACCACATCGTGATATAATAGGCCACCCCGGGGTAAATGCCTGCTTCTTCATGATGTTAAGATAGATCATTTCTTGTGGTTGGTGGAGATCATACCTGTGGCACCGAGGAATATCCTCGCTATCAGTAGACCGTGATAGTTGGTCACGATACCCATTAGAGTCTACGGACAATTAGAGTCGTACTAGCTCGGCGGACGGGAACGAACCATCACCGTCCCCCACGCCACCATCAGTGACGGTATCCATATTGAGGGCCTGACTTTCTGCAAGATAAGGTTCGATGGTAGCTCAAACACGGTGTATGTGAAGAAAAAGACGGTCACTAAACAATCAGAAATCCATCAACATTATGGTCGGCGCTACCTACGTGCCCAGTTGTACTGTGTCCCTCCGAGATGCAGATCTTCATCCATGCCTTCAATCCTGGCGTTTCCGATATTACCCCTATCGAGGAATGAGAACAGGTATAGGAGGGTTAGCATCGGCATGAGACGGAGGTCCATCTTGCGTAGGAGCTTTCGCTCGTCGATGTGGTCGAGATTACCCTCGACATGATTGATATCGCGGCATACTGTTTGGATTCCACTGCGTCGCTTAGAGTGTTTCTCGGTCCTCATGACGAGGTCGAACAACTGCAGTGCTTGCTTGCCTTCTGAAGCCACGGAGGTTCCTTGATGGCTTTGAGCCGTTGAAGGTCTCATGGGACAGCCCATGAGTTTTGATTGATGCAGGTCTATTAGTGTGGCTGAGGAACTATGTAAGGGGCTAGGGAATGTGGGCGAGAAGATCATTATTCCATTCGTTCCTCACAGAAAGCTTCCAGCGATAGGCTAGTTCTTCAACGGGAATCCATTTTGCACTAAATATTCCGTATGCATGGGTCCGTTCCCGCCATCCGAAATGCTAAGAGTAGATCATATGCCCAAGGCAAAGGCAGCAATAATGCATGGGTGCGTATGGTCATCATGTATAAGTGAGACAAGTTACGTCTCCTTTGGTACTCAGAAGGCAAATAGAGTGTTGTGATCTGCGAGCAATGTTTGCTGATCAACGATCTTCACAAAGAGAGTTAAATGCATCTCTGCAATGAAAAAGAGCGCATTCCCGTTATAATCCGAAGTTTAGCATCCGATGTACTTCAGTGCCTGTGAAGACTTTTATCGGTTCAACACTGGTTATTGTTCATGTGCCAATGGGCAGTGCTCAATTATTAGTGGGCACCTTGTGATTAGAGACTGATCGGCGTTCATTAGCGTTGCCTGGTATGGGCAGGAATTGATGACATATGAGATAATCCAGTCCCAATCAGTAGGGTAGAGCAATGATCGTCCTTGCATCAAACCTTGCATACACTGATCGGGAGTGCTAAATAAGACCTTTAGGGGCTGGGTAGCTGGCTATGGTCATTTCACCCTTGACGTGTGTAGGTGAAATGAGCACATCGTAGTACCAGGTGTTGTGATCGCCTTACTCTTTCAGAAATGGTGGGATTGGATACTGGGGGTTCCCATCATTGCAAGTCTTCATTGGAAGCAGACGATGGAGTCTGTGTTGATGACAGACAGCTAGAGGCAAGCATCAATCGCATCGACGTGGATAGGTGAGCATTTTTGGTCGTGTTCGTGACTCATGAATAGGTCCTATTCCAGTACAAGTCTTGATACATATGTCCCAACGGATGGCGGTCCATGAAACGTCCTAACCTATCCGTCATGTTGACGGCATTATGGAAATACCTCCATAATGTTTGAATAATGAAGGGAGAACAACTGGCGAGAGTGGAATAGTACAGTTGATGAATAACCTGGAGACGGTTTTTGTGTCATCCTGTCATCTCCCAGTCAAGAAGCGCATTATGGGCCGTGCCCCCAAATCACTGACCGCCAGTTCGTGATGGAAGGCGATAAGATAGCAAGCCCCACCGCGGACCGAATTCCAATGCGATGGGATTTAGATTTTGTTCGATCCAGACCCCTCCTCTTTGTCTGTTTGCCACCACTCCACAACCAATCGAATTTCTGACCAGAAATCATGACAAGTTGCTAGAGCCCGCTTCGTTCAAGCTTATATCCACCAGAGGCCATGTCTGCGCGGAAGGTCCCTCCGCCCAGTCAGCCCACCAGTCTTAGCCCACCAGAGGCCGCGATTGCCGGGCGAACCGCCGGGAAGGTTCTGATTCCCCGGGATCGATCGAGGATCGTGGCTAGCCCGCAGATACGTACTTCTCGTGCCTGTGATCTTTGTCGGCAGCGCAAGGCCAAATGCAATGGGGGAAAACCGACATGTACCCAGTGCGAGAAGTTCGGGACCGAATGCAGGTACTCAGAGCAGAAGCGGACCCAAGAGAAAAGAGAACTTGACATGTTGCGGGCAGCTATTAAGCGGCACGAGCGGATGCTGCAACTTCTGTCGCTTCGCCCGTCCAGCGCTGCAGTTTCCACCAGTGGAGAGGGTCCATATGTGAGCTTCATTATCATACCACTGATCCCTGTCACTGACGACGAGCTACTAATCCAGTCATGTAGGTTGTGGGTTTGTCGCAAACAGAAGGGCTAGCTACCCAGCAAACGCTGTCTGGTAGCCTGGACCGCACGATGGAGCTTCTGCAAACACAACTCCGTGAGCTGCATTATGTGTATCAAAATGTCCACGATTGTGACCCCACAATTCTTCCGGCTGTGGTGGACACGATCCGCAGGAGTTCCTCGGTGCACGAGGCAGCCAGTCTACTGAGTCAACAGATGTCATCACAATCCCCGGGTATGACCCTGGAGAGGATGCAGAGGTCGTGGCTGACACGGCTATCGGGGAAACCAGAGCTGGTGAACCGAATACCGCCATACAGTGTGAATGCTGCAGAACGCTGGACGGCAATTGTTGATAACGCGGCCACTTCGCATCTCTTTTCTTTCTTCTTCGTTTGGGATAACCCAACATGGCATGTCGTTGATCCGGTGTCATTCCTGGGTGATTTCCAGCGTGGAGGGACACACTTCTGCTCGTCACTCTTGGTCCATACTATTCTTTTTTATGCGTGTGTACGTATCCCATTCTCTTTATGACTTCGCTGACGGACTAGCACCTTTCATACGACTTTGAAAAGCCATGGGACCGGCGCATGGAGATGTCTACCGCCAGAAGACTTCTGCGGGAAGTGGAACGCCTGTGGCAGTGTGATAAGATGAATATCTCTCTTCCCACCATGCAGTCAGCCCTTCTATTAGGGTTATTCTTCTGTGCTTCTGGAAAAGACAAGATCGGTGTTCAGTATATCCGGTATGGCGCACAAATGGGGTTGCATCTGGGCTTGCATACCTCGTCGCCTGAGACAGGCCAAACCAATCCAGCAGAGGCAGCTCGCATTAGGCGAGCTTATAAACTCATAGCTAGTGCGGTCTATGAGGTGCAAACGTAAGTCATTACCAAATAATATGCAAAGCAGTCACTAATCCAATAGTCTGTCTTTGCAATTGGCAAGGATACCGTCAGTATGGCCGGGGCCGTCAGAGCTTTTCTTATCTGAAGAAGAGGCAACGGCGGCGGATGTCAATCAGCAGTGGTCACCATACCCATTTACCTATCCTGTTTACAAGCCCTTCTTCCACACGGGCTTATGGAGCAGGCGGGACCTTTTTGTTATTATTAATGATGTGGCTAATTTACAGCGGCAGCTCAGTGGACAAATAGATCTGTCTGGATGGCAGCAGGGTGCTGTACTGTATCAGAGACTTATAAGCCTCGAGAGGAATCTTCCTGCTGTCCTTAGGGTACAGAGGAATAGGACTCCCCACAATCTGTGTTTTCAGTGAGTGGTCCGAACGCAGTCACGGCTCTATGCTAACGAAAGAAGCATGTATTACCACATCACAACAGTCAACCTCTGCGGGATTTTCGTGACCCGTAGTAGCACCGGACTGACAGAAGAGCTGATACGATCCACTAAATTTGATCCACAGAGACTACTAGGCGAAGCGATGGACTCGATTGCGACATTAATATTGCTCTATCGGGTGTCCCATGGCTGGAAGTCCATCCCAATAATGATGGTTCACTACTTTATGGTGGCAGGTATACACGCAGCCTCGCACTTGGAGTCGTCAAAGTGGCGCGAAGTGTTGGTCAGCTGTGTCTCTGGTCTCTGGCATATGGGCCTGGTTTGGAGAGTCTGTCGACCATTTTTGCGGACCATCCAGCTAGTACTCCAAAGCAAGGACGAGACCTTAATCCCCATCGAAGCAGTGTCGATATTGAGGGAATTCAACGAGAAGGTGTGGAATCAGAACGAGGTAAACGCGCTGGCCGCCAACTACGTGGTGCAACACCATCCCAGTCAGACACTTGCGCTGGACCACGACAAAAACTTCCAGGGAAAAGGCCTCGAGAGCTTGATACGAGATTTCGAGAAACTGAGCACGGATGATTAAGACGAGGAAGGATGAAGAGAGTGGGGGAATGAGAAGCGGAGGAAAAGTACCGGTCTGTATACGGATGACTGTAAAATAATGTTTGTTTATGTTTGACGATACGATGCAGTACACGAGCTATGAGAATATACGACTCAGGCAGCAATATACCATGTGACCTTCCACTTTCATAAATTTGAATTCAGCGCTTTCAGTCTAAAATGGTCTATTTGAGTCCAGCTCTTTCATGTACAACACAGCCATCCCATATATACAAGTAGTTATATCATGTACATCCTCCACCATATCCACCAAACAGCCGTCACTACGAAACCTCAATCAATTCATCCCCTACCCTCCTCGTCCACTCCATCCAGCTACCATCATACACCCTTCTGGATCCCTTCGCCCCAACCAACCTCAAAGCTAGATCTAGTGATGCAGCCGTAACCCCCGAATTGCACGTCAGAATATACGGCACTCCCTCATCTTCCTCCGCCAACGCGCCCGCATCCATCAAGACACCCCTCAGTTTCTCAGGTGCTAGTATCATCCCAGTCTCATCTTCCAGTAGACTAGCCAATGGCACATTGACCGCTCCGGGAATGTGCCCGGACCTCAAACTTGGATTCATTTCCGGCTGTACACCTTGAAACCGACCTGGTATCCTCGCATCGACAATCCTCACCTTCTCCTGGTCCCTCCCAACAACAACGTCCTTTACCTCCTCGAACGCTATTACCCTTCCGGTGTCAAAGTCTCTCTCTCCCACGACATACTCTTCACCTTGCTCTCCTCTCGTTCCAATCACTGGAACCTCTATTCCCTCAGACCCGGAATCTACGGGCAGCCGCATCCGCACATACTGCCTGAAGTTATTCAAGACGTGCACATCCTTATGTCCAAAGAGCTCACACATAAACGCCAGTCGCGGGGCATGATACGTGCCTATCTCGTCTGCATCGTAGATCACTAGAATATCATCCTTGCGAATACCGAGGGCAGTCATTGCAGCGGCGAAGAGGGAAGGCGAGGGAAGCATGGAAGGGTAGGGAGAGGCGGTGTCATGAATCTGGTCGAGGTCGAAAAACCTAATTGGCAATACATCTATCAGCATGTGATAGTGGGGTGTAAAGGGAGCGGGGACATGGGGTACTTTGAGCCTGGAAGGTGGAAGGATTCGAAGGACGAGTGGAGCGTGGGACGGTAGGCTGCTAAGGGGACAATTCGCCTACGCTTGGTGGAATTGCATACTGCCGCATTGTCACAGTATTCGGCTGGAGTTATGAGAGGAGATTGGAAGGGGTTCATTGTCCAAACTTTGATAGTTGTAGATGGTGAGGGATGAGGGGAGACCATGAGGGGGATTGCCGTTATCAGGACATCAACTTAGGCATTAGTTATGCAGTTCTGCATGTTTGTCAGCTATGCACTCAGGTACCGACTCCGCCCCCTTCCGGTCGGGATAGCAAAAGAAAGAGTGCGAGGTATGAGCTGATGAGGCAATACTACAATATACTACCAGTGTATTAACTTACCTTTGAGACATAGGTGCTGACAGGAGTAGTTTCAGTGAGACAAATTGTAATAGCACCAGGTTTTCCTTGTTTTGCGATACCAACGACCTGAACACTTGACCTAGTACTAGTACAAATATCACGCGGATATATATTCTTGAAAACGAAGACGGACGACTCGATCATACAGCTACCATTATTGTCATACTTGTTGCGTAATCTACCAGTCAAATAATAAGTATATACCCGAGTCACAATGAAGATATAGAAGATATAGAATTGGAGAAGAATAAATTGCAAGAGAGCAAAAAGTCAGGAGTAAAGCGAGGGATCAAAAAAGGAAAAAAGAAAGGTCGTGCCCGGGATCGAACCGGGGTTGCCGGAAATCTGGTAAGATTCAAAATCCGGAGTGATAACCCCTACACTACACAACCAGGTGCTTGTGAAAAGTGAATTTGCTGATGGTATATAAGTGCCATTAATCTGCGAAGCGGATTGTAACTGCCCTGGAATTCACCAAAACAATTATCCACACCAGCTGTGATGAACAACCACATCTACGTACTATAACCACAAGGCTATGCCCATGCTTAGAGAGAATCCTTTGCTCTGCCAAGACAACATTTAATTATTTCTCGTCGACATTCCGGAAAGCTCAATACCTCCAGGTGCCCTCTAAACTGATGATCTGTCCCAAAATTACACCGAAAAGGCTAATAAAATTGTGGTGGTTATGGCCTTGATCCTGTATAGGCTCTATGTCGACAAATAATGAATGTATTTGGTTGTGCCTGGAAAAAGCACTCCGATGACGGCATTCCTTCGGACCCAACAGCACAGCTGAGAGCGGCAATCCTTGACTGTTTGGGATAGGCAGTCAGCGCCGTCGATCCGCGCAATCTTGGGGCCAGATGGTGAGTTAACCTCACACATGACGGAATCTAGCTTTGTCGAGTCGCTTGGTTATGCAGAAGAATGCACTCCCCGTATTATTATGCTATTCGAGCCCGTTTACCTTGCAATTGAATGTATTTGGAGTGTTTGTTTACCTGGGTGAGATGCCCTTAAGGCTATTGTGCCTGGTCCCTGGAGTATCCACATTCAGCCGCACTCCACTCGCGCCAGCAAATGGCCCTAAACCGCCCGGTCGATGGCTTTAATGACGTATTTACCAGGATTAAGCAGCCTCCATTCTACCAGGACTGTCAGCTCCACTGTCCTTGAGCCACAACAATCTGCATCATACGGTGTTTGGCTTGCATAAAGCCAAGGACCCGGCCTAGAAACTAGTGATGTAATCATGCACGTCCAGGAACTGGATGATCTCGCAGCAGGCTGGATATATCTTGCCGTGAATTCCCTCCTAGTCACGATGGTCGTAGCAATCCAACACCTGCCACTACAATCCAGGCCCAATTGACAGTTGCAGCCCGGGGGCTTCATACCGGTCTTTCATCATGAGGTTCCTTACAAGTCTCGTTCTTGCCACTTTATCCACCACAACGGCATCCTACCAGTTCAATCCTCTCCACCATCTTGCCGGTATCGCACCTTACTTCAGCTCTCATGATCCCCAGATTGATCCAGCTCCCCCCGCTGGCTGCAACATCACACGCGCAGCTTATCTCGTCCGTCATGCTGCCATCTATGCCAATGACTTCGACTACGAGACCTACATCGAGCCGTTCGTCGAGAAGCTGCGCAACACAACACAAAGCTGGACAAACACCGACTCGCTCGCCTTCCTCGCCAATTGGACCGCGCCGATCACTGAGGACCACCTCGAAAAGCTGACTCGCGTCGGACTCCAAGAGGCAACAACCCTAGGCGTTAAGTTCCGCCAGCGATACCCTGACTTACACACCGACAAAGTTTGGGCCGCGACTGCTGAGCGGACGACCAAATCTGCCCAGGGCTTCATAACTGGCTACACCAACAACAAAACGCACGTGGATCTTGTCAGCGTCGCACAGAGTGACACGACTGGCGCGGACTCCTTGACACCTTACAAATCTTGCCCAGCATACAGCTCCAGCTATGGCAGCACCTATGAAGATGTACGCCTATAGTCACATGACCCTTATCTCACCCGGCGATCTCAACTAACAGTATCCTAGGAGTTCATTGAAAACTACACAGGCCCCATAATCAAGCGACTCAACGCCTTCGCCCCCAAATTCAACTTCACTTCCTCCGATGTAACCGCCATGTTTGAGCTCTGCGGCTACGAGACCGTAATCCGAGGCTCCTCCCCATTCTGCTCCTCCTCGCTTTTCACCAACAACGAATGGCTCTCCTTTGAGTACGCCAACGACATCATGTACTTCCACAACACGGGCTACGGCCGCCCCGTGTCGCCGGTGATTGGCTTTCCCTGGGTCAACGCCAGCTACAATCTCCTCTCCGCAGAGACCAGCGAGCAAGACATCTACGTCTCCTTCACACACCGCGAGGTGCCGCCAACCATTGTCACAGCGCTGGGCCTATTCAACAACAGTGCTTATTCGGGCGCGGATAATGTGAACGCTACTATGCCAACGAATGAGGTGAATTACGATCGTACCTGGAAGAGCAGTAACATCTTGCCATTCTTGGGAAATATTGGGATTGAGCGGATGGAGTGCAGTGGTACTCACAATGGATTTGACGAGGGTGTATACTTCCGGGTGTTGGTCAATGAGGCTGTTAAGCCGCTGATCGGGTGTCGGGATGGGCCTGGGGAGAGCTGTAGTGCGGGAAAGTTTGCCGAATTTATTAGCGGGAAAGAGAAAAGATTCGGGAATTTTGGCAGGACGTGTGGAAATTCCTCTGCTTTGGAGACTTTGGATATCTATAATTAGTAGTGGTGGTGGTGGTGGTACACCGGTACTTAGATTGGTTATTAATGCCTGGGACGCGGTATATGAACGACGCTCATTAGTGGAAACACAAATAAACTGGCTGGTAGATGTTATTAAAGTATTAATCCCGCATGACAATGACTCGAGTAGTATTTCGGTTTCACAAATAGCTTATAGTATGATATTAATATAAAGGAAAACATCCGACTTTAAGAGAAGCTGCTATACAAGAAAAAGTCAGATCAAACACTATATTTCTCCCTCCGCCAGATTCGCTCCTCACAAAATCCCCCTCTCTTTCCCATGTACTCTAGTGCTATACCCCCTACTCAACAGTGACAGACTTGGCCAAATTCCTCGGAAAATCAACATTTAGTCCTTCAGCAACAGCAAGCCAATAAGCCATGAGCTGCAGAGGGATGACATTCAGCAGACCCTGCAGAGCATCCACAGTGCGGGGGATGTCAATCCTATCGGTCTTGTCACTAGGGAACTCGGGGTCACCAGTATTACAGATAACGATGGGGCGACCGTTCCGCGCAACGACCTGGTTATAGGCATTTAGCGACTTGGAGAAATTGTCGTCGCGGGTCAGTATCATAACGAGCGGTAGTGATTCGTCGACTAGCGCTAGGACGCCGTGCTTGAGCTCGCCGGATAGGACGGCTTCGCAGTGGAGGTAGGAGATTTCTTTGATTTTGAGAGCCCCTGGGAAGATCGTTGTTAGCGTTTAGGTACTTATTCGAGGAAGGAGTGGGGAGTTAGACTGACCTTCAAGAGCAGTGGCATGCTGATTACCACGACCGAGAAGTAGCAAACTCTTCTGGTCCTTGAGCTTCATACATAGTTCCTTGATTTTTTCATCAAGCTTTAATACCTCTTTGATCTGGTCGGAAATGTTGGCAAGTCCCTCCATGATATCGATACGTCGCTGACGCTTGCTTGTGCGATCTTCACTAAGTGCCAAGGCAAACATAACCATGCAGACGAATTGGGAAGTGTAGGCTTTGGTTGATGCGACTCCAATCTCAGGACCAGCGTTGATGTGGACACCGCAGTGAGTTAAGAGGGAGATCGAGGACCCAACGACGTTCACAATACCAACAGTTAGAGCACCGCGACTAAGGCAGTACCGCAGCGCCATGAGCGAGTCTGCCGTTTCACCTGATTGGGAGACAAAAACGCATGTATCATCGCGAAATACGGGGGCTTGTCTGTCTAGAAAATCAGAGGCCAGCTCAACTGCAATGGGTGTCTCGGTTAATTCTTCGAAGATACCGCGGACTGCAACGCATGAGTGATACGAGGTACCACATGCGATGAAGATAATTCTGCGGGATCGTCTGATGGTTGAGAGATACTGTCGCAGACCTCCGAGGGTAACGGTCCTTTTCTCCACGTTGAGGCGACCCCGCATCGCATTGACGATGGACTCTGGTTGTTCGTATATTTCTTTCTGCATGAAGTAGTCGAAGTTGCCTTTCATCATTTCCTGAAGTTCAAGTTCAATAGTTTGGATAGCTCGGACATTTGAGGTGCCAAGGTCTTTTGAGATACGGTGAATGTTGAGCTGACCGTCGTGGATGTGAGCGATGTCATCATCTTCAAGATATAGAACTTTCTTAGTGTGTTCAATGACAGCAGCAGGATCGGAAGATAGGAAGAACTCTGCTGGCATAGGCACCCCGTCGTCTGACAGAAATGCCCTCGATTGCGAGTGATGCAGAAGATTTTTGTCTGGAGGCGCGAGCAAGTTGCTAGAAATGGCGCTGCCTTGGTTCAGACCCCGCGACTCGTCCACTCCTAGGCTTTGAGGTGCAGTCTCGGCAGACATGACATCTTCATGGGCAGTCTCAACATCAACAAAATCGACCTTCATCTTGCCCTGCGTCCGAATCCCAACAACCAACGGGGAGCCCTTACGGGCGGCGATAATTTCATGAGGATAGTGAACGGATTTGATGAGCAGACCGAATGCGCCCTCAAGCTCCTGGATAACGGCCTTGGCGAGGGTAGTAAACTCGATTGTGGGATCCTCATCGTAAATGTATTTGGCCAACTTGGCAATGGCTTCGGTATCGGTCTCGGTCTCGAACTTGAAGCCTTTGCTCGCGAGGAGTCCCCTCAGCTCCTTGTAATTTGTCGTGATGCCGTTGTGGACCACGACGAACTCTGAGGTAGGATCGGACCTACGTAAAACGTCAATCATACGGCCTGGTAGTGGACGAGTTCCCAGAGCCGAATGTATACCTATGGGGATGGCAGTTGGTTCGCGACGGCGAACCGTGAGTCGCCCAACGGGTATGTGCAATACCCGCATGCGATTCAAAGGTCCTGGTGGGATTGGGCTTCTCCTCCGCAATGAGCTTTCTCAGCCCTGCGACCTTCCCAACTTCCTTATAGATGAAAACCTCCTTCTTCTTGTTACCGTCGATTGCAAGTCCGGCCGAGTCGTAGCCACGGTAGTCTAGACGTGAAAGGCCTGTGATGATGGTTAGTAGGAATTGGATCATATGCGGGCTGAAGGTATCTGTTGTACCATTCAGGAGGGTGTCGAGAATCTCCTTCCGATTCTTCTCTACGAGATAATTCACGTAGCCGAAAATTCCACTAACTTTGTCAGTGGCGATGCAACAGTACCACGATTTGGAACATGTTCACTCACCACATGCTGCCCCGTGTTTGATGAAAAAGAGGAGTAGGTACTAAAGGGAAGATAGAACAGCTAAAGAAGCGTGCAGCTTAAAAGAGACGGACTGAGGGGTGGTAATGTGCAAGCAATGCGATTGAGAGACAGTACAGGTAGTCGTCTTATACACTTCCCCTGCCGTTGATCCCTCGAGCGCAATATGCTGCTTATCTGCCACGTAGTGTTAAAATAGTAGCATTCGGCGGCTCTACATGCTGTGTATACTAAAGATAGCGCTCGATACGGTTGGCAGCTGAGCAGTGGGGCACTTTAGTACCACCGTCGGACTCCGGCCTAATTTTAGTACTAACAATGTGTCCCTGAGACGGTAAGCATACTACGTAGTTATTGAAGACTAAGTCTGTGTGGGGTGTACCTTCCATAGATACATAGGCTAGGCCGTTCTATAGGAGGCCCTATTTAGCTTGGTTAGTATTATTTTTAGCCTTACTAAAGGTATGTTTCGAATGGTGGGGAGTACAATATTTATCAGTTACAAGACTATGCCCATCCGAAAGATTTGCCGCATCGTCGCCATAGTTCAGGATCTGATAGTCGGGATAAAAAAAAAACGAGATTGTCTGGGTGTTGAGGCGCCCATAAATGGCCTCTTGTAGGGCATGTGACACAATGAACACAACCTATAGTGCATAACATGGAGAATAGGTCCTAAGACTCAACTAATGGTAATAGTGCAAAGTCCTCCGAGCACTAGAGCAAGAACCGGAATCCCTCTGCCACTGCCCGGCCAGGCAAGCCGTGTTCTTCATTCTCACGAGCCCGCGTGAGATCAACACCTTCTAATTCATCGAGCTGTTTATTTAATCCACCCAAATAAATGCGAAGGCTGGTGGAAATTACAATTGTCATCGCAAGCAAAGCGATATTGACACTGAAGGCGGCGATATAACGAGGAGAGGCGGAGTCTATCAATTTCAATAAAGGTTAGCAGGTTATATGTGACTGGAGATAATGGAGGTTTTGAACGTACACAGGGTAAAGATATGGCATATAGATCTGGCAGAAATTATTGAGACAATTGATGAACTAGTCTCTGAGCCTGCACCATCAATGCTTACTGTTTGAAATATATCCCAAAGACACCACGTAACCTGCGTTAATGCCACCAAGCATTATACACATTGCCCTAAACCATCCTGTGTTAGTCATCTCGATCGGGAGGACATATTTGTTGAGACTCACACATATCGAGCGGCGAAGTTGTTGCCTGCCATAGCTAATATGAATGCAACAATAGCAGCGACAGGCGGGAGTGCTATATGAAGGTATCGCTCGCCTGTTCGATCGGCATTCCAGGCATGCACCAACACAACAAGGGTAGCGATAAGATATGGAGGTGTAGTCAGAAGCAAGGTATCAATGTTGTTTCGGCCAAGTCCGGCCATCACGCTGGATTATAACGGTAAGTATCTGTAGACCGCCGGAGATACAGGATATAGCTCATATCTGGGAAAAAAGGTTGTTACGCATCCGGCAGACGTGCAGCCGTAGATGACGCCTAGCATTAGCCCAAGTATTTATGTCCCTGTTGTGTGATGATGAGCTTGGTGACCAAAGCGAATGGAAGACGACTGAAGTACTTACGTGACGGCGAGCTTTGCACCCTTGGTCATGCTCTGATGTTCATTATCCACCCAGTCATCTTCGCCAATGTCCTTTTCTAGTCTCCATGCCGCAAAGACTTTCTCGTTATCCGTTAGCCACGAAGTGGTTCGGGGTAGATCGGGAACAATGAAAAATGCGATCAAAGCCGCGAAGATCTAGGATGGTCAGTATTGAGTGGTTTACATAACTCAGAGAAATGGTGTATACAGTTAGAGCTCCCTCAATAACGAAAATCCACCTCCATGCAGCGATGCCTCGTGCACCGTTCAAGCCGCTCGTGATACCGGCGGCTATCAGACCGGAGAATGCACCCGAGATCAATGAACCTGCATATAGCAACGCGGTCCGTTTCCCCAACTCTTTCCTGGTATACCAGGCTGATAGGAGATATAGACATCCGGGCTAAAACGTTAGCGAATATCCAAAGCAAGTAGGTGGACTCTTACAAAGTATGCAGCCTCGACGAATCCGAGTAGAAACCGAACGACCAACAAGCCAGCAACGTTGTGGGTGGCCGCAGTGCAACACGAAATGACACCCCACGCTACCATACAGCCAGGTAGATAGATTGAAGGCTTTCCGAGCTTGTTGAGGATCAGGTTTGAAGGAACTGCGCCAATTAGCTAGCCTGGCAACAAAGGAAACAGAACAGTAGAACTGACCCTGCATAAGAAGATACCCGACGAACAGGATACTAACACACACCTGTGGCGTGTTAATTGCTCGCATGGCTTGTAACTATTTATCCTTCTTAGCTTGTTGACTATAATACCTGGTATTGGTCACCTCTAAGCTTTAGGTCCGCTTGCAAACCAGCCAATTTCGCTGCTGCAATGTTGTTGCGATACAAATAGTTCAAGAAGTACATGATCACCATCATGATGAGCAGCCTGATATCAGATCTTCCTAACTAGCTTTGCCTCCCGTCGTTGTATCTCTTCTGGCGTCAGATCTTGCAACGATGCTGGCACAGCAATGCCTGAGCCCTTTGATGTGTCCCCCATCTCGGGTAATTCGATATGTTCGGCCCCTGAATTCTTGACGTTATCCATAGAAGGCAATTGGGTGATGAAACAGGAGCACTTGAGAGTAGTAAACTGAGAGGTGCAGCGGCGAGTATGTTTGCCGGACGAGAGCAATGGAAGCGAAGAGAGCGGTTGTGGTATTCCAGCTTTTCCTTAAATGCTGGAGGATTTTCTGCACCAAGCTACCCCGTGGGGTGGTGAACAACAAACCGGGTTCGAGGACGGGGCTCTCTTTCGGATATCTCAGGCGGGGTTGACGCACTTGGCAGCGGGAGCAAACAACCTGCTATATCCACTGCGTATCCGATGATTTCCGGACTGAAGGGTCTGAGGACCAGGGGAAGATGGGTTGCTTCTACAACAAACCCAAGCCAGGGTAATGTATGCTAACTTTTCCATTATACGTTCGGTGTCAGAACTGAGATCACTGGCAAACAACCAGAATGCATGATAGAGAAAAGAAGCATAGTTCAATGGTAATGTGCTGGCTAGCTCATATTACAACTTGTATTACTCTTCTATCTCGATCCTAGCACCGTTATCCCCTTTGCCAAATTCTAAGAACATTGTGTGTATACTGGAAGGGAGAAAGAGGCTTATCGCCACCTTAATAAATGGGGAACTAATTACTTTACATGAAAGGGTACACGGAAGAACATCACTCTTTTTGGTTTGCGTCCAAAAATTCCAGCAGTTTTTGCGCAACAGCAGATGGTTGCTCTTCGGGGAGGAAGTGGCCACAATTATGAATAGCGCCTCCGGTAACATTGGCCGCGAACTTCTGAACCAAATCGATCATACCCGCGCCAACCGAGCTCTCTCCACCCAGAGCTAAGACAGGAATATCAAGTGGTGCTTTTGCGAACTCTAGATTCTGCTTCGAGCTCGTCTCAAAAGACCGATAGTACTCGAACCCTCGACTCATGGCTCCTGATCTCGAATAGGCTTGAATATAGCGTTCAAAATGATCTTTGTGCATACCATCGGGATGAACTGTCTTCAAATTGAAGAACCAGGTCAAGAGCTCCCGCTCACGACCGCTCGTCAGGATTTCAGGTAACTCGGGAAGAGCGTTGAAGGAGAATTGCCAAAGACGTAAGTTGGTCTGCTGAGACAATGGGAACTGAAACTGGGGCAAGAAGCCCGGCACTGATGCATCCAGAATACTGAGCGATTTGATTCTCGATTCGAATCGAGCGGCCCAGGGATACGCGATCCATCCGCCCACATCGTGGCCAATTAGATGATACGTTTGTTCTTTCAAAGCATCGTGAATGGCTTCGGCCATGATCTTGCTCACGTTCGCGGTATCATAGCCATTGACGGGAGGAAGAGAATCGCCCAAGCCTGGGGGCTCGAGTGCAAAGAACTGGTAGTTTTTGGAAAGTGGCTCAAACATGTCACTCCACGCTTCTGCTGTCTGTGGCCAGCCGGGAATTAGCACCACAGGAGGACCTTGGCCGCCGACGATGGCTCGGACTCCATGCAGGAGACGGGTGACTTGCCACTTTGCCGTCATTCTGTAGATACTTGTCGGGTTAAGAGACGGGATGAAGATTCGAATGACGTATATTTGTCGGTCAGGTTTATTCCATCGGCATTCAAATAAAATTTTACTGGACACTGAACCGTCCTGATTATATTCTGGTCATGAGTCACGGAGACTTCGATGAGTCAAGGAAAGGGGATGATGCTAAAATCTCATATCTACCGATACTAACTGAATTCAGGTTAGGGTATAGCGCAAGTTCAAAATTTGATTATAGAGGACAGATCTCCGTTACATAACGATCCGCCTCAAAAAAGTCCGTAATTACCCAATGCTACTTGGAAATAAGGAGTATGAGATAAACAGATCATTGAGTTATCATATACAATGTTTTTAGTTCTTTCACTTGTGTTGCCAGTCTTTGGCGGGAGCGGGTCCCACAACTTGCCTGTAACTTACCCCGCCGGCACATAAAGCTTAGCTGGTTAGCCTATTACGATGCCCGGCAAGATGGGTCGAGGTAGGGTAACTACTAACTACAGCCTCGCGCGTCCCCAACTCACCACCTTCCTTCCTTCCTATACTTAAAAACCACCGCTTTGATTCTATTTCTTTACTTTCCGGCCGCAATGGGTACGGAGACTTGGAGGACTGTAACCCTTGCTGAATCTGCGAACATCTGTCTCGCTCGGTTTGGCCATCTCACCGTATGGGAGCAGTCAGCCATCGAAGACCAACTTGGACAATTCCTCGATCTGGTCTTCCAATATAGAGATCTTTGCAGCATCGAAGAGCTCCCTTGATTACCGTCTTCGCGATGCGTTTCGTGTTCAACGACCGCTTCGTCGCTTGCTCCGGATACTGAACGACCATATTCAGCGACGTAACATCAACTCTATGCTATACCGTGTACGATAATGTTTGGCTAAAGCAAGAGCGCTACAGTTTTGCCAGCGATAAACAGCCCTCCTGAAGTAGGAACAACTCTTTCCAGGTCATCTTCCTCTTTATCTGAGGCTAGTGACCTAGACCCTATCATCCAGGAAATAGCAGACGAAATCGACTTGATACACAAACTTTCCAGAACAATACCCAATGGGATCAGAGAGTTCCATGACCTAGGCACACCAGCCTCTACACTGAGTTATAATGTCGGCAGGGATGTCAAGCATTCACGCTTTGATCAATTTGAGTCGGAAGTCATTCAAGATAAGTTCCCAAAATGTGATAAATCACCCCAGAAGAGGCTGGCAGCTGCCATGCGGCTACGCCGAACGCAAATTAGAATTCTCTCCTGGAGCTCCCCATACTGGAGAACCCCCCCTCATTATTCTGATGTTCTATCAAGGGAAGTACCTGTCCCAGAATTGTCTCTCATCGAGAATCCCCTCCAGCACAGTCAGCATCTGAGGCCAAACATTATTCTTGTGACTCCTCTTTGTTGAGTCCGATGGTGCTAAAGTTGGAAAAACTGAAAGCAGTGCACACCATGTCTCGCCTCAGCTGGGCGAACACATCATGCCGGAGAGACGGCGATGACCTCCAGTTCCCTCACGCACCCATAGCATCGATTCTTCAGAAATTAATGACTCTCAAAAATAATGATATAACAACACTCCAGGAGTTCCTACCGGGGAACACCAGCTACCTTCATGGCGGTCAACCACCTATACTTTCATTGCCTAGCGAAAGTCACCGTGATCTGCCCGTGATCAGGCTATTGGAATCAAAGCGAGATCTGGAACACGAGTGGTCAATCTGTACGGAAGGCGCAAGGGAGGTCAATTGTCCTTACTGTTGCTGTGCTCTCCCTAGTTCAGTTGCCATAAATCAGAAGAAGTGGATGTATGTCACGATGCCTGAATTGACGTCAGGTCTATTGCATGAGACATTGAGTTAAAGAAACCCAAGTGATCATCTCAAAGGCGACCTCGACCTCTATGTTTGTTTGTTCGACCCCTGTGACTCTCCCTACAATTTATACAATGGCAAAGACGAATGGTAAACCATATGCGCCAACATAGGCCGCGATGCCGTTGTGCCGCACGGGCGCACGGTGTCCTTGTCTTCTATGAGAAAAGCGAGTATGAAGAGCACATGCGCCGAAAGCACAAAAGCATCCAACCACAGTTAGCCATACTCGCGGAGAGAAGGAGTCGACCCTCTGGTCCTGTCTTTCAGTCCTGCTCGTTGTGTGGTGAAGGAAATTTGGCTGATCTCGAGGAGTACATTGCTGACCATCTTACATACCTTGCATTGATGTCAATACCCTTGCCTCAGAGCTAAGCGAATGATGAGTACATGTGGATGGATGAAACCAGGGGTACCAAGCATTTCCGGGCCAGAGGCGCTGGACTGACCGATTCCGATCGCTCTTTCGACAAAGCTGAAATGGAAAAGGCAAGAGATCCCTCTAGGCTCACCGAATCACCTTCTGCTGGATTGAGGAGCTAAAACAGACACATACAAAGGGAAAGGCACCTACGAAGGAACGTAATCAGGGAGACCAATTGTAAGGCTGATAAGACGCAATACACTCTACTAGTCCAAACTCGAACAATACGCGCACAATGATTTGGGACGTTAGACTTCCTGTAATATCCACGGCCAAGTTAGGGATGCCGATCTTAGTCCGATCGAGAGAGTTCTGCAGGGTTTAGGTGAGCACAAACTACGTAACGCGTTGAGAGCACTGAATGTCACCAGTGATAAAAGAGAAAATATATTCCTATGGTGTCATGCTGCTCCTCCATCCTCAAGAAGCATTAGAATCTCCGATCCATCTTCTTTTTCTCATTCCTCTTAGATCACAAGACCGGCCCCTCCCCCACACCATGACCAAGAACTCCGACCTCAACCACCTCCACGAAACCCTCTTCGAAGAGGGTATAAAACTCCGCCGAGCCGTCGTCGGCGACAGCTACGTGGATAGAGCCCTATCCCAAGGATCTAGTGACTTTTCGCGTCCCGGCCAGGAACTGGTTACCGAATGGTGTTGGGGTCAAATTTGGACGAGACCTGGACTTGAGCTGAAGCAACGAAGCCTATTGAGTAAGTGAGATAGACTTTATCCACGGAGTAAAGACGCAACTAAAGTAGACTCAGACCTGGGTATGTTGATCGCGTTGAAAGCCTGGCCAGAATTGGCTCTTCATACTCGCGGTGCTATCATCAACGGCCTTACCGAAAAAGAGATTAGCGAGGCGGTATTGCAGGCTACTTTTTACTGTGGAGGTCCTTCTGGTATTGAAGCTATGAAGGTTACGGAGAGGGCTATTAACGAGATGATTGCGAATGGGGAGTATAAGCGGGAATAGGCTGTGGGTAGTTGGTTTTGGGCTTAGAATATCAGAACATATTAGTGTTTTTGGAATGTTGAATTGCTTCTATTCGCTGATAATAAAGATGAATCAGACAGGTTAGAGCAAAGTACTAGATTTAAAGAGGGCATACAACTTCTTACAGACTGGGCATAGGCATTGTTCATTACATTTTTGTTTCATTATTCAGGAATGTTTTAAGTATTTACTGAAACATGAAAGGGGAACTTCATTTCCAAATTCTCCGCTTTTCTTTTGAGTGGAGGTATAATAAGATTTGCTGAAGTGAGTATTGCCTCGAACAGATTCAAATGCTGAGGAGGTGTACCCAATCGAGCATGTATGAGACAATCACACGCTTTGAGATCTGCCTTTGCTGCGTAAATCGAGATGCGTGTATCAATCAGTGGATAAATATCATATACTTCCTTATAACGCCGCAAACACAGCCAGAACGATCATGTATTTCCCTATATATTCCTTCCCATAATGGTAGACAGTAGAAAGTCTATCATTTTATACCATTGTAACCTTTCAGTTTCTCAGTTTCTCTTTCATGATACCCTCCCATTCTTTCCGTCTAGAAATTCCTGCAGGTAATTCTCGAGCCCTAGTCATAGTAGGAACATCACAGACAATTCCAGGAGAACAGGCATCTATATGCAACATGAACGAGCTGCTACACAGCCCACGCAACATGGGAAATCGGGAGAGCAATAACGGTGAGAACAAGACGAATGTCACTCCCCTCTGCAGACTTCTTCCATTTTCATTAACCTTTCACCATGACAGTGATAGCCACAATATCATCATCCGCTAAGGCGTAGACACTCTGGGGTGTTTAACTCATCCCACTCAGTGATCGGGAGATTGTGTGGTGCTGCCAGTACGGGATGATAAACGGATCTGATTTTTCTGTTGGTCGCCAGAGTCGGTGGAATACTCGGTGAGCGGTTCACTCGCTTCGTCGTTGTCTGTAAGTCCGATGGTCTGCTCTCCGACGACTGGCTCAATAGTTGTTTCGTCCTCGGGGTAGTAGATGAAATCCGAGAACCTCTCGAACCCGTCGTGGGTGTCGTTGTGCGTGTCGGGGCTATGCGCAGCAGTGAAATCCTGGATCGAGATAGTACGATCCAGTGTGGAGGGCCAGTCTTGTAAGGCGGATTGTCTGGTGGTGTCGTTAATCGCGGTAAAACTTGCCGAGGAGTGTCTGGCGACGCGTGAGCGAGTGGGCTGTCATTCGCGGACAGAAGGTTTTCACTCGATGGACGGGTCGGTGTAGCAGACGGAAGCGTTGGGCTAGGATGACCAGACGGAAAACTATCAGTGTCTCGACGAGCCGCCGTAGGGCGAGTAGACGTGGCAAGAGGGCGAAGCGGTTCGTCTATGTCCGTCTTGTTAGCGTCGTCGGCGATATCGTTCTCGTCGTCAGCGTCCGTAGCGTCGTGGTTGGAGACGGGTATACCATCCCGAAGTGGAAGCTCTAACTCGGCATTGATCTTCGTGATCGTCGAGTTCGCTTTGCGGATCTTGAATGGTAACACGGTTGCCATCGGTCCCTCGCGCCACATGTGGTTGGAGGAGAGAGGATGGTTATCGTACGTAGTCCCCATGTACCAGCAAGAGCGGTTCCGGACGTCCTCTTGAGTGCTCTTCATGGCGGTCGTAAACGTCTCTTTGTCGACCGTTCCCAACCGTCGGAGGAGGTTGAATTCCCAATGTACCAATTTAGAAAGACATACTTCGAGTAGACCTTATCATGATCTGTAAGATACATGATAGCCATGCACTAAAGCCCGTGCTCTCGAAAGAAGGTCTTAGCAGCACGGGTATCAGAAAGACTCGGAAACGCTGCCACTTCGTCCTGCTGTTCAAATCTTCCGCAGTGTATAGGGAAGCCAGCCGTCTTTTGCGATCTTTAAGCATTGTTTGGTCGAATGAAGGATCTGGTGATGAGTGGCTCATGCGATCGGTAATGTATCTGATGGCATACGCCCCGGGAGGTGTCAAGAGGCCGTTTTCAGTTACCACGGCTGACCACGCTTCATCTGGGATGAGGTCGCCTGTGTCGAAGCACAATTTGATAGCATTATGTCTGTACAAGTGCGTCGTCCCCGTATCAGGTAGACGGACGATTTATGAGACATTGGTCTGGGAATTTCATGTCTCTTATATAATTGGTAGAAAGTCCGGTCTTTATAAATCCACCACGCATGGCATCCACTTTGAGCAAGCTTCATAGACGTGGCCCATGGACTCTCAAAGCCAGCTTCACCGAAAGTATCAGGAGAATTTCGACAGAGGCAGAAGGTCTGATTTGTAGCGCCTTACTACCTGCGAGTGTGATATTTGCCTCCGGCTCTCGGTGGTATTCTTCGAGAGTTAGAATATCAGCAAGGCAAGTCATTTGGCGCAAGGTGTTCACCAGGTGAACTGACCAGCCCGCCAGTGACGTTTGGAGCGACATGTTGCGCAGATACTTAACCAGCGATATTCCAAATGTCCCTGCATTTTTCTAGAGAGCATCCAGGGAAACATACTGCGACAATGGATGTTGCTTGAAAGTGGCCGCTGGATGAAATGTGATCCAGTAGAGACAAGCTGTCAGATGCTTCCTCAATGTTCTCTCATCACTCCTTGACACCACCACACATGGGGTGGAAGTAAGACTAGTTAGCCAGTGGACTCTCCGCACCGGAGCTCAGAGCGGGTATATCAACGGAATCCTCCTTGAGTAAGGCCCGTGCAAGAGAGGGCTGATCGAGGTGGAAGTCCGAATAGGCAATATATAGCTCATCATATTTCGACCACATCTTCATCCACGGAAAGATTGTAGTGATGATCAAAATCGAATCTAATGCGGCCAAGGACACAGCAATGGGACGTTGTGCCCGTGTTGTCCGTAGTATATTGTTATAACACCGTTCGTCGGTCGAGGAATCCCAGAATGTCGCCGTGGCTCTCGATTTGCCAATGGCGTTTGGATAGAGCTGTGGAACATGGGCATGGACATCAGCCCGAGAGTTTAACCTGCAATGCTTGGATATCGCCATACATTTGCTGATACCAATCAACATGTTCTACTGTCAAATGGGTGTCACAGATGAACGCGAGGTCGATGGTTACCTTCAGAAAGCATTAAGAAGATTGGCAATGTCTCCTAAACCCTTTTCATTTAGCGATGCGATCGACAATGTTCGACTGGCTAATATCAGTAAGGAAGAACGCAGTCGACTCAGGGTCCGTCTATCGTCCGAATGTTGCTCAGCACACCGCTGAACCTGACGCGGGACTTCTGCTCGATACCAGGACAGGGGCTGATGCGTGGTATGGATCAGGTGTAATGAGCTCCTCGATATCGAGGTTTTAGAAAGGCAAGCAGCCCGACCCATCGTATGGGTAGAATGTGGCCACCCAGCGTCTTTTTAGAATTTATGGTCGATGACAGCATGGCATGAGACGTCATGACTTCGGTAGCCATCCATAGCATACTATTGCGGCCCACTATGCTTGTCACTCTGGCAATGGATGATCATTTCTGCCGCATCCGAAGTATATCAAATGGGCAAGCGATAGAAAACCCCATATTTAGCAGAAAACCGGTGCTTGAGCTGCCTTCAGATCGATGGATATCCCAACAGAGTCGGAAAGTCGCAGATGTTCCTGCAACTCTATGAAGGCCCCACCACAGGATAGTTACAATCATATATAGTGTGTCCCGACAAGTAAGACACATTAGGTAGACTTCCGTTATTGAGGTTAGATTAATAGGAGCAATTTCGACGATGTCGTCGACGAAATCAGCCTCAGAGCGTGAGCCGTATGAGCATATCCGAATATGCCTCAATGGGTCAGGCGCCAACCCGATCATCCAGTCGATATCTATAGGGTCGAAGACGGCCGACCAGTGGAGTCTTGCTTGACTTGGCAGTATATCTCGGTTTTCTCGGAGCTGTCGTGACCGCAAATCTTTGCAGTAGATATGTAAAGCGATTGACACTTGTTGTGTCTTTCGAAAAAGATCTTTACCTGCCAATGTTCGAGCTGCTGCACACCAACACGTCTAGCACAATATAACCGGAGGCTGTATATAAATGGTAAGAGTAGTAGGACGGGAGTGTCGTTCAACCCGCTCGATCTGAGCCTACCCCTGGTTGCCATCAACATCTGAAGCAATGTGATCAAGGCGTACGAAGGGTGCTCACGAAGGGAACACTGATGTGCACGACCACCCCAGGCGCGGTTACAATAGTCGCCGCTGAAGAAACCGGACGCGATCACGCATTCAGCAAAAGGACTTTTGCCTTCACGGCAGCAAGAACAGGCGGCAGAACCGATATGTTCAATTCCCCGGGCTCGGAGAAGCGCAGTCTGACGTGTTTGATCGTTCACAACGTCAGAAGCAACGACGATCTCACCGAAAGCAATACGCTAAGTAAGACGGTGGACGGAAGCAGTAACACTGCAATAGTGTTTGACAGTGAAATCAAGAACACTGGGAAGAAGTTGGTATTCCAGATCAAGTCCCAGGGACACCGACAATACCGTCACTAACTTAAACATTGTCCTGGTCATTGCTGTCGTTGGGATGTTGACCCCAAAATGTCATGAAGATCGGTGTGACTTAGGGATTTCGCCGGAAGTGACAGAAGAAGTGGTATGATCAGTAAGATTGTCACCATATAGATTGTTAGCTATCCATCAGCTTTCTTCACCACTCATATTGTTGCCTAGACTAATGAGGCACCTGTTGGCCCGGTGTATCTCGACGTGCTGAGCAGGACGTACCGCAGGGTGCGTCATGACACTATGAAGGTGAAGAGGGAGCATCCAACTGCAATACAGTATCTTTGACAACTGAAGTAGACGTCTTCCATCGGAGTCACAACTATCTGATAAGAGGAGTGGAGAAATAGTTCATATCCAGCGTCTCCCAGATGTAGCCATGGATTTACGAGAAGGTTGAGGATGGTGAGTCGGACCTCTCGGATGGTTGAGTGGAAAGGGTAAGCCAGGCCCGACACGAGTTGCTGGTGTGAGGTAGCCCGCAGCCAATTCAGATATTGGAGCCTGTCAATGTTCAACTCAACCATCGAATTCGCCACATTCCTCAGTCCACTATATGATGACGCTATTTCCCTTTCATCACATTCAAGTGCCTGTAAATTCGTCAAAGGACTCCAATGTTGGCAAACTTTCGTTATCAATCTGACCTTATGAACCAGGTTTTACTCTGAGGCATAATCCCGGCCACTGTTTCCCAGCAGGTATACGGGGGAAAGACATGTCCTCACTTCAACGTCCCGAGAACATCGGCAGGAAGCTATAATGTGAGGTATTTCCTGGACTCTCAGTTTCTCGTCGCAGTCGTACTTCCCGTCGACGGTTACCTTCCATGGTGGTCGTTGAACTGGTCTGACAATGTTGAACTCCTTGCGGTCTCCTTGTACCGAAATAGATACAAATGAGGCTTTTCCGAGGTCACGGAGCCCACCACTGCTGTTGGGTGGTTTGGACTGTCAAGAAGACTGGACGCATTCTTTTAGGATATAATAAATGACTGCCCATGGATGTGGAAAAGCCCATTGTCGTTCTTACCTCGGACGTTAGGTAACAGCTCGGAGAGTCGGTAGTATCTTCGCATTGTGTTCTGAGACAAAGCACCCATGTCTGCCTCCTTGCCGGCCGATGGAAGTCTCAGAACTCTGGGACTTATTTCATGTTTGGTCAACCATCCATTTGCTTCTCGGGGTGCTCACATTATCTTCTGACTGGGCGTCATGTCACTCCCGAACACGCCGTGTATTCAGCGTCTTCAGGTACCTGTGCACTTGCTGAGCTGTGATGGGCATGTGGGCTTTCATATCGACAGCGCCCCTGGCAGATGGCAAATAGCTTGACGCCATCAGGCTTAGAAGCCCACTGACAGAACCCATATTCTCTCGTCTGTATCAGTATAAGAGATCCTGACTGCTTCTTCATCTCCTTGATCGATGATGATCAGGATTTCATTGGATAAATTCATTTAACTAGGACGAAGCCTGCCCATGTATGTGTTTGGAAGAGTAAGATGATTATTCTCTAGAGCTGTCTGAAGGGTGTCATTATACCGGAAGACTTCTTTTTGGCCGGTATCTGTGTCCATGAGCGAAAGCGACCAAGAATGGAGTTGGTGTACGTATGGAAGATATTCGCAGAGGAGGACTCCAGTCACACTGCTCGAGCTGTTGCTGAGTTATTATCAGCAGCTCATCACTAAAACGTGCGGCACTTGTGGACCAGTAGAGAGCATTGTTCCCAGGACCCTGGGACTTTCTGCCGTTCAGGATAGGGTGGGGAATTATGAAAATGGAGAAATCCTGTTCATCACCAGTGTGGAAATGGAGTTGCCCGAGGCATGAGATAGGAAGCCCACTTCGTTGGGTATTCGTGCAACATCGTCCGATGACATTCCTAAAATAATCAATTTGCCCCTTGAACCTAGTAGGCCAAATTAGCATCTGTTGTCTCCCACGACATGTATCTGTTGATGACTCACTTGAGAAGGATCTGATGAGGGATGTTCTAAAGTCCATCCAGGTACCATCCATTCTCGCCTTTATTGAAAGACCGTCTCGTAGTCTCTCTTCCTTCTGGTCCTGTATATGTAAAACATGAGATGGAGAGGATGCTTCAGCTCATAGCCATTTCCTGGAAGTGGATCAGCCAAAATTTTGGACTGCACCAGATGTCATCTATTGTCCGCACCCTTTACACATTGATTGCCATGCTTGACAGACCAGATCCGGCTTCCACATCCTTTGCAGCCGCTTTCTTGGCAGGAGAGATAATCTCTACGTGCCGAATGGTTCTGCTTGGACGCCGACCGTGAAGCGTTCACACTCTCGCCTCTTCTGCAGGTGCGGTGCACATCAACAATAGCATTTGAACCAAGATGATCTTTTGTTGATTATAAGGGAATGTCGAGGTATCTGGTGGGGTGTGATCTGAAATATCCCCGCATATTTTCTGGCAAATGATCCTCTCGAGGGATGGCAGTGTCCTCGATCATTAGTCAGAGCTTAGCAGCGAAACTAGGTAGCTCGGAATTCGCAGTAATGGAAGTTGCAGCAATTTTGCATCTTCTCCGTTCAAATCTCATGTCGAAGATTCTTGACCACAACGTTCTTCATGAACATCTGCACCCTGTCGCGTTGAGAATTTAGAAACAGGTTGGCGTTGGAACCCCAGGCGCAGGTTATCATCAGAGTGAGGCTGGTGACCGGCATAAAGGGAATTGAGCCGCTGGTAGATGAAGCAAACTCGCCAGTCTCCGAGATCACATTGCAGGCTGAATGTCGACGTTAAGACGGAGGCCTATGCATCGTACCATCTTCAGGGACATGCGCGGCTAGGTCATCAATCAGAACGTGCATAACACGCAAGGGGTAGACTGTCTCGTTGCCTGTAGGATGATTTCCCAGAGTTTTGCGGTCTAGAGGTTTTGTCCGGCGATGCATCGGCACATCATACCCACGCGTTCGTCAGACGACGTGGTTCAGAGTCCAGTCTTTTCGTGGGACGAATAGTCGCACAATTGGTGCTAGCAATTATCTCAACCATCTCTCCTTCAATAGCCGGTGCTGTTTAAGCCACACGGAACTTCAGGGTATCTTTCTTCAGACAGACAGTTACTTGTGGACCTCGTTGCGACCTTGGAGTTTGTCGCACAAATACTTTGCTGAAAGATGTCCTTCGGCTGCGTGTCGTGTGCCTTTATGTATTGTCGCTTCTCTATATCGAAAGGGTTTCCCATCCACAGCCCGGAAGCCTTTGACGTGGTGTTGATAGCTGCGACGTCTGTTTCGCGCACTCTGAAGCTTGCCTTCTTTACCGGAAATCGGTCAGGTGTTTCGTTGGTCAGGAAGGGAACGCAGGACGATGCGCTCATGCCTCTACTGGACTAGCTGTCGCTCTTGTTCGTATTGGTCAAGCGGTAGAATCTCAAACAAGCCACCTGTTAATTCGCTTCCGAAGTGAGAGGTGAGGATTGATGTAAATACATCGTCCTCGAAGCTAAAGCGTCCAGTGCAATGTCCCATTTCAACTTTTCAGCGTAATTTCGAAGAATGGCCTGAGAGGCAGAAGTCGTGGTTCGCGCTTCACAAGTTTCGTTCGTGCAGAGAAAAGCAGTACGGCACGACGGTATCGTCGACCCCATGGACAGGTACAATCGAGCATATATAACGCTGTCGTGGTCTCGCAGATGACATCTTCTTGGTGTGATCCGGGGAAGCGTACGGGAGAAGCCGCGCGCTTTTCTCCATGCCTGTTGGTCAAATCCGCGGGAGTGTAGACCGCATCACGATCCAAGCCAAAAGTTTCCATCCGATTTTATAGACGTTCGAGATGAAGGGAAAAGGATATAGAAATGAAAAAATAAAAACATACAACAGAAGGGATTCGCTGGTGGTCACCCACCCAACTACTAACCTCCCGGCGTGTGGCTTAAGTACGGCTGAGCGGACGGGAAGCCCTGTTTTCCACACCCTATGGTCGTATGTGCTGGAATTTTCTTGCAATGAGCTTATATCATGTGGACTTGAATGACCGGTCGCTGGATGATTAGTGACCACGATCCCAAAGGGATTTCTCAGGAGTCGGTGATAGTATATAGAAGGATTCCAACATGATTGGTGACACACGGGAATATCGCAGTGATACATCCAAGACTCCTAGAATTTTTCATCATATTTGAATGCGATCACACTTCGCCGATACGATAAGGCGGGAACGGTAATGCTTTATACCCATGTGCAATCTGTTGCCCCGAGTATATTGGGCCGAACGTTATGTCAACTCGGGACCTTGCTTCCCGATAGACTGTTCATACTTCGCGGCGTAAGCAATGAGACGAAAAGCAGGTACCCAGTCCACTTGTCAAGATATGAGGTGGCAGCTCCAGATATCTCATTGGAAGATCCTGAAGTGCGCGGCCTTAGGGCATCTTGGTCATGTCGTAACCACTGCGGCGTGGTACCCTTCCCTCAATATCGCGATCATCTTATATATGCTTCGATGATTATTGGGCGTGATACAGTTGGCGTAATGTCTCTCTTTGGTGCAGAGAAATTGGTGTGAACGAACGGTTTCTTGATCTGCTGGATAGTGGAAACCGAGACGTGGATATTCTTACACAGATATGCCATGGAGACCATTCTTCAGTCTGGAGGCCGCATACGGCCTCCGCTTTGCGGCGCCTGGCTTTTCAAAGATATCAAAATAGTCGATTTCGAAAGGACAAACATGTCGCCAAGAACATATTAGCTAGCGACTCACACCATGCCGAGTCTCAGTTTAATCGCATCAAGGTCGTGATTCGCTTCCGAGTGACTAGCGCTTGTCCCCTTCAAGCCGGCCTCTGCGCCGAGGAAGATGACCCCGGATTTCGGAAATGCAAGCCAGAACTAGAACCCATTACACCGCAAGTGAGGGATGAACTGGCGGGCATCCATTGTGTTGGATAAAGTAGTCTCGGATGGTTCTTCATTCTTGATAAGCAGGAAGCAGATTGTCTGAAGGAGCACTGTATAGTCCAAGGTCGGATTGTGCTACGAATATTTCAGACAAGACTTCGTGTGTGTCACGGATCTGCGAACGGCTGTGTCTGATCACTTGCTTGTTTTCGATTATACCGATCGCATCTTCGCATGTGTTCGCGGAGTTCGAGCGGATCCTGAAGATTCTTCGGTCTATCACTGAAGAATGTATCTAATTGACGGTGTAAGACGGTAGGTATCTGTTGGCATAAGGGGCAAAAGCCAGTGCGTCCGGTTGATGGTACCTAGACTTGGTACCGGGGAGAAACATTTGCTTGGACCCATCATTGCTGCAGCAGTGTATATGTAGTAGGGGCCTTTGTGTCGACGTCCATGGCACAGATAACACTGCTTTGGGCGAGTAAAATTCTCAGGTGCGAGTGTAAGTCTGACTTCTGGTTTATTGGCAAAAGCAATTGGTTTCTCTTGTGCACGGCATATGAAGAGCCAAACTATCAAGTAAGTAATTCGCCCCATTGGGTTGGAATTTGATTGCGGATGAAACCAAGCTGGTTAGCGCCCTGTCCGTTGGTCCGCGTAGCTCTGTGGGTAGACCATGTATCGTGACACATTGGCCCTTGCTCTCTCGATCTCCTGTAGGGTAACTTGCCGACCGCATAGGATGAGTAGCGCTTCCTCCACCTGCATCGAGGAATGTGCGATCGAAGTGGTGATCGGAAAAATTATGAAGTCAAGTCCCGCTCGTGGAAGGGACATGAAGCATGGCTGGGGAGGGTGTAACCGAATTACGTGGCCGTAGTTGTCAATGAAATAGTTGAGGACGGAGCCTTCTCGAGTGCTTCCTTCGATCTTTCTCTCGCTCTGTGGTACAAGCCCAATCCCATGAGGCTCAAAGACGTGGCCATATATTTGGCTTCGGATCTCTGGTGGAGGTATGTATATAAGATATTTGTTCTCGTTTGATAGTGGTGCGCTCATCGCCCAAGACCATTGAGCCTTCAGAAACCCATCTCGTTGGTTCTAACTTCTTTATACTGTCCAAGATGAAATATTGACGGGACGATAGATCAGATCGTCAATTGGATTTTGTTTTTGATCTTGTTCGCATGGGAATGGATACCAAGGTCGTTGCAGTGTAGCTGTTTCGATGGACGGATAGGAACAACGCGTAGATGTAGACTGCTGGATCTGCAGTTTCTATTCAACTTGCAAGCCCCGACGATGAGATGTTTAGTGTATTAGACATATTATATCAGACATAGTGGTGGCCTGTAACGATTCAGGGAACACATGAGCTGGTTCAATTGCTCGAATCGGTCGTCAAGGCCGATAACACAGTCACAAAAGGTAGGAAGTGTCTAGGTCCGGGAGATATTCCGCAAGCGATACTGTGTAGCAGTGGCTCCAAGCCGATTCGCAGTCCTCAGTCTGACTGGATCCTATCCTTTGAGGTTCCTGAGAAAGAGCGACATGACGGTTATTGTTTTCGCTCCGCGGGACCGACAATGCGTCGCCAAATTCTGTCCGAGCAACGCGTGATGCTTGGCCGATGCTTGGAAGATGCCACAGATATTCTCGAATGAAGCGTCAAGCAATAACAGACAGTCATGCCAGAGGTGGTTGGGTTCGCTCAGTTTCAACTACCAGAACGAGGTTTGGTAGTAGATAAGCCGACCGACCCAGCACAGTGGCTTAATGGTGCTGATGATGCTCTAGTGAGACAGCCAAATTGACTAAGTCGATGCGTTTAGTCCTGCCATGTAGACCTGGCTCGGGTAATCCGCAACCTTTAGCCGATAGCTCCATGATAACCAGCGTGTATGATTGCCTGACATCTGATAGCGTAGAACATAAATGCCAGTCCTCGTTTCAAATGGACTTGGCAGTAAATGCAGATTGCTTGCATATGCTCTTGCCAAGTTCATGAACCATCGGCAACAACAGCGAGATACTAACTTGTCGTCACAAATCTCTGAGTTGATCGGTTCGCCACCTTTGAGGGAGGCAGCATTGCGACTCTTGCTCAGCATTCTGAGCAATGTATAGCGGATCTCCAAGTTCTGTCGGCGTTGTATGCCGCTTCTTCTGCCCTGACTTGTGCTGACTAGAGAGTACTGTATCATCAGAGATCGATCACTCTTGCGACTTTGCTGAACAGATGCTTACCTGTCCAACTGTTCAGCTGACCATGACATTGAGGCATGAATATTCCAGCCACGCCACGCTTACATTGTAGTCTCTCCTAAATATAGGAACGGGGATAAGCCATGTGACTATCCTCTGCTTGATCGCAGTAAAGAAGGATACTCATCAGGATGACAGATCCTGTTCGATCTGCGTGGCATGCGACTAGCTGAGAGATAATAGTCAGCACGAAGCACGAAGCAAGATGCAGTAGCTTGTTTCTAGGGTAGGATCATACTGTATGGTCCAGATCTATGTGTGTTCGGCTCACAAGCAGCCCCATCAGAGAACACAACAGTCAGGGAAGCAAAGAGGAAGAAGTGATAAAGATATGGAACGAGACAGCGTGTGAGAATATCAACAACGCGCAGGTCAAATCCAAACAAGCCACACATTTAAAGCGGGTCCTGTTCAAAGGAGTTGCTGCGACAGCCCGCCGTGTGATCAGGCACAACACTCAGATATGGTCAAGCGTGTGAGTCTTTTGTGAGAGAGGCAAAAAGCATGACCTGATGGTGTACATATGCAGCGGTGAAGAGGTAAGCTGCCTTGCACCTTTAGCCATGATGTATAAAGGGGTAATCGTCAAGAGAAGAAGCATACTTTGGAAGGTGTCATGATGCCCTCCATGCACCATCGACCTAATGTGTTGTTTCTTGCTTATACTTCTCACTAGGTGAGGGTAACATCAAGAATATATATAAGAAGAAACATAAGAGAGCCGAGCTGCTTGGGAGAGATAGAGGAGGAAGAGGAAAGGAAGGAAGGAAGGGAGGTAGTATGAGAGCTTTTTATACCCAGGCAAGAAGCCCTCTTCAATGATCAGATGGTCACGGGATATAGCTTCGTGAATCAGCACATGCGAATTTGTCAGATACGTGACTGGGATATCCGTGAAGTAGGCTTAAGAATCGTCACTATAAATGCGTGACTAAAGACGGCATGTTCCGCCAGATTCACGAAAAAGCCCGAATTCATCTAGGATACGTCACCATGAAAAGCCACGTGAGCACAAGTCACAGAATCGATAGAGGAATTCAGATCAGTTCCAATCATTCTTTCCATTTGGCCCATGGCCGATTGGTTCAAGGATGTATATCGCGATACTAATGACAGTTCTATATTATGCCTTTTCGACCTTGAAACTTAGAAGAATGCCAGGTACATTCTACAACAGTCCTCAATACGAGCAATCGGACATAGGAGAGGAAACAAGATAACAATATTTATTTACAGGCTTGGATGGCCCTACAGGCCTCGTATGGACTATCAAGTCGCGACATGAAAATCGCTGGCTTCTCAAGAAGCCTGCGTCGATACTGTAGACATCGACCGGTAATCAGGACCCGACCTCGACACGATTTATCGAGGGCGTAACGAAAGAACTGCGAGTTGGCCCAAGCTCCAGTATTTTTCTGGAACATCGTATCGACATCTCTGACATAGCCCAAGCAATCCGCACAGAATGCCACATTTTCACCGGAGCCTCTCCAGCCTTTAGATAGCGCGGCTAGCGCATCATTAGCGTACTGGCTGGACGACGAGAAGAAGATACATACCCCAGCTCAAAATGAATATGCCAACAGCCACTAGGGCGACTGGAATGAGACGGACCCTCATTGCGATGGGCACAGACAGCCGTGGATCCGGAAAAATTAAAAGGGGGAGCGATGGGTGTGGCTGCCTGGTGGCCGGCACTTGTGCCTGAGGGTCAGGGGGGTGTTCTAACCGCTTTGGGCTAGTTCATCGCTGGTGCAGGCGATGGCCATGGATGCCTTTTGAGTGTGAGGAGAGAGGTTGAAGGGCCGAGAGACAAAGCAATATAGCATCACTCAGGAAGGCTGCCGCTGGAGCAAAACTGCCTTGGCCAGTCCAGCCAGTGTGCAAGCCGTGACGGTAGGGCAGCAGTTACTGCAGACAGCAACTCCAGGGCGCGGTCCTCTACGAACCAGTACCCACGAAACAGGTATAACTGGGCACAATATTGTGCCAACAGAATAAGACCGATCGGGCTCTTGTCCAGCAGAAAGCCTACGAATTCATCCCGCACGCTGATCGGCCACATGTAAATGATGCCACATTGGGCAGGCTTTTCACAAACCTGCAAACGCCAGAATGCCTTTTCCAGACAGTCAGTGGCCTGCTGGTAGATGAGTCTCTCCTGCTCACTAAGAGGTTCTGATGCTATTAATTGTCTGATAGCATCCAATTGATCGCCCAATCCTGGGAAGCGCAGAGACTGGACATGGTCTCTGTTTGTCGGTTAGCATGCGCCAGATTACACTATGGGGCAGAGCTTACTCGGGTGGGCCAGGATCGGATCGAAAATCTCTTAGAAATAACGGCGCAAGGGGACCGTTTTCAACGTGGGACATAAATGGTTGAAGGGTCATGATTCCCCTGCACAGATTGAACATGCGGATTATACTTTCCAAGGGGCGGCTATCACCAAGATCGGTCGGAGCTCCACAAGTCCATACCATGATCAGACTTGAGAAGCAGAAGAGTGCCTCGCAATTCTGTTTGGTTGGGTTTTGCAAGATAATGCGAAATGTTTGCAAGCCCAGTGCCATGTGGAAGTTGGAGCTGTTAAGATAGTGGCTGTATCTTTCGGGTCTAGTGTACGCCAAGTGCAAGGCCGACAGCGACAAGATACCATGCATGAGGAACTCGTACGAATAGGCAATCTTCGGCACTTCGATCTGCCAGACATCACGGATCAACTCCCGATCAGACAGGGTCTTAGAGGCATAGATGCAATAATGGTGCATCAATTCGGGATCCTGCGCGCCCCACTCGCGGAGAAAAGCAGATGCATCGGCGACTTGATGCTGAAAGGCGGCAATGGCATCGTCGGTTCTTGATGAAACGGTCGGCGACTCGGACAATTTGCCCGACTGCGTACTGGGATATGGCTCGGGTTTGGGTGGGCGACGTTCAAAAGTGCACGTCAGGTGTCGTTTCACGCAGTTGGCACATGGCTGAGCTTCATCGCACTGTGGGGATCAGCGGAAATTCCAGGCTGGAGAGCGGACAACGCACTTTGACTCGCCGAGATTTGCACTGGTCGCATCCGTTCCGGGACTTCGTATGGGCTCGCCGCGGAGGCATATCGAATGAAGTCTAGACTATATAGTCTTCCACACAATCCCGAGAGGACTGGTGTAGGCATCGAAAGTCAATGCGAGGAACAGGAAATATACGACAGACGAGAGCGGAAGCGAGAACGAGAACGAGGAAGGCGTGCCGGCGATGAAGTTTTCGATCGAGTGGAGAGGCGGTGGATCCTTTAGTCTCCGCCCTCACCCAAAGATAGACTGCCCCTACCACAAAGCAGAGTTGGTATTTGCGTGTTCCTATTTTCCTACTTATGAACGTTATGCTGTCCAATTCCAACAGCTGTCAAAGTATCAGCCTAGCCAGGAATACGTATTGACCCCACCAGACTCCGATCCCTAATGCCAGGCACACCAAGATTAGAATAAACTTGCTGGAGAAGCACTCGGCAATTAACGAATGGCCTTCAGGGAGGGAAGCGATAGCGAAAACGAGTTAGTTATTTGAGGGCTAGTACCGTTTATATACCGTGTATACTATCCTAGGCAGACGAAAATAGTATTAGATCTAAAATGGTGGTGTTCAAGTTTAACGACGTAAATTATCCCTATGCCTTTAAGATATGCCAAGTTACCCCAAACAGGCTGACATGAGTCGAGAAGAGAGCTGGACGAGCAGTCAATTAGTCCATCGCATAGCATCCCCCCCATCAAGGCTCTTGGAACACTTCCTAGACCACTAATTTCTTTTTTTTCAAAGTTAGAGATTTGCATACCTAATGTCTTCATACGAGCTTTATCGCTACACCCCGTCTTTGGCGGCAGCACTTCTCTTCATAGCTTTGTTCATTTTCATGACAGCCTACCATGCCTACCAAATGGCTCAAGCGCGAGCCTGGTATTTTACCTGCTTTGTGCTGGGCGGAATATGTTCGTGAAGCCGCATAGTGACTTGCCGACTTACACTAACCTACACCAACCTACACCACAGTCCAAATCATCGGATACATTGCGCGTGCATTAGCACATAGCAACACCCAAAGCGTACCCATATACGCTATGCAAGCTATCCTAATTCTACTCGCGCCTCCTCTCTACGCTGCAACGATCTACATGACACTCGGGCGGCTTATCGCTCTCCTCGAGGCGGAAAGACTGAGTCTTGTTCCAATCAGATGGCTTACAGCGGTCTTCGTCACTGGAGATGTACTGTCTTTTCTCCTGCAAGGGGCTGGTAAGACATGAACCCGATATCTATGTCCTGACTGTACTAATATGGCTCTAGGCGGCGGCATTATGGCCAGCGGCACTCTCAGCGGAATGACCACCGGTGAAAACGTAATCATGGGCGGACTAGCCGTCCAGCTCATCTTCTTCAGTGTTTTTGTTATAGTTGCGACACTTTTCCACTATCGCATCCATCAAAATCCTACAGAAAAGTCAATGTCTACGTGCATTGCACGCAGTGGTTGGCGCACCCCTAATTGGGAGACGACTATGGTAGGATTATACATCGCCAGTATACTAATCTTGATACGGTCGGTTTTTCGTATGATTGAGTATGCTGGCGGGAATGATGGATATCTGATGAGCCATGAAGCCTTTAGTTATGTTTTTGATGCGATGTTGATGTTCTTTGCGATGGTTGTGATTAGCGTGCTTCATCCGTCGAAAGTATTAAGTTCGGGCAAGGCGGAGAAGGTGGATAAGAGGGAGAGTGTGCAGTTGCAGAGATTGTATTCTAGTTGAAATATCCACTGAAATATATGTAAGAGAATGTAGGTATTTAGGGCTCGTTCGTTGTTTTCCTTCTCATGTGTATGGAACATCCTGAAACGATTGGCCAGGGATCTCATGGAATAGCCAGGCCATTCAATACAGCCACATTCCTCATCCATCTTCATGATGAATTGCTAGCACGTAGTCATTCCCATTTGCTTCCCGATCGTAGTGAAATCCTTCTGTCCGCCGATGCATCTTTGACAAATATTACCATCCCCGAATTCAATCCAGGTAGTCACTTGACATCGCATTCCATGCAGTCTACATGATTTGTCGTCTTCTCTTTCTTCTTCGATGTCAATCAATCTTCTCTTCTACACGACAGAGCTACCTTTCTGCTTATGTATCTTGGAATATTTGTGTATGTTGAGTCATGTGACGCACCACCCTTACGTCGTTATTCCCAAACTCATCTACCATCAAGTATGTATTTACCGATCCCGTCCGTTGCCGATAAAATGGTAACGAAAACGAGCCCCATCGTCTAAAATGGTCTCATGGCTTTTATGGAGAACTACAACGCCGATCCAACGCTTTCTTCTTGAACTGAATATGCTCGCTAAGCTTCTTTACCGTGATTGGTTGGGCCACAGAAAAACTACTAAAGATGTAAACGATGAAGCACACTTTTGGAAAGCAAAAGGACCGATAAATATACCCTCCATGAAGCTTTCAACCGGTGATCTCGAAACCCGAGCTAGGATATGCAAATATTCACACCTTTGAGTACGTGGGTAATGCTCGTCGATGTTTCCTTATTACCCAGTGTAAGAAGTTCGACTCTGGTGATGGTATCAGGGATACTGGCCGTGAACAAATGGATCGTTATATAAGCATGCAGCATGGCAATCGTCCGGTGGCTCTCAGAACCCCGGTCTATAGTATTCTGGCTGTGGGGAAGTATGTTTGCTTCTTTCGCTACAATGATGCTCAAAAAGCTTGTAATGATTGGCTTCCCGGACCAAGTTGGCCATGGATTCATAAGGACGAGAAGTGTTATATGCTTGACAGAGATGTGAACCTTCTACAAACTCAGAGCTGCCGATGACACGAACATCACGAAAGAAGCTCTGCACGTACCAGAGTACAGATCGAAGTCTACAAAAACCGGCTTACCTCATACAAACCCTCCGCAGTACCGATCTGACTTGCCCAACCCACAGCAAGATGCGGATAACAAGATGAAAGGTTTTCAGAAAAGTTAACATACGTTGGGAATGCGACCTTGGACGTCCGATATAACTGCTAAGGTCGGGAGTATTATTCTCAGGGCTTTATAAGGAGGAAAGAGTACTGCAATAGTTTATTTATGGATAAAACCTTGAGAGATACTCTTTTAATGAGACCTGAATAGCTTATAGAGCTATGACACCCTAGACCTACTATCCCCTCCATGCAACCATTTCTATTGATTACGATGTACACTAGTACACAATCGGAAGAGATACGACGGGACCTATAAGCAGCATCCCCTATTTATTGAAGGATACGATATGCGGCTATAAGACGGGACAATATATTGGTCGATTGATCAGCTCCTCTACTACGCATGGCTTGCTTCTTCTCACAACCCATCATAGTGGGGAAGGCAATGGACTGTAAGTTCAACAATATATTTTGCATTTACTCAAGTCTAAGTAATAGTTAGGTTACATGATTCCAGTGATACTCTGGTTCGAAACCATCTCATCAAGGACGTTATCGGTAAATTATTGAGGATTATGTCCGTCAAGGGCTAATAATCGCTGCTTTATGCTGCCAGTTTGACTGCGGAGCCGAAAA